GACGAATTTGTCATCGGATTTATCTGGCTTGGTGCAGAGTTACAACCCCGGGGAAAATTTCAGCTCAGGGGCTGGCTTGGTGTATATTCCGGGCAGAGGTGATTCCTTTAACATTTGTTTATTTAGGCAAGTGAAATTAAGATGACTTTATGGCACACAGAAAGGGTTAATTTTGATCTATGATTACCAGTTTTAGTTTCCAATTAGTGAGTGGTTGCATTAGCGATAGATGAATAGTTGACTTAGTTTAAATTCCGCTTCATCGGTTTTTTCTCTCTAATATTGATCATAGGTTAGCTAATGTTGATGATCTAGAAAGAATTCACTCTCTAGGAGTTGAGTTGCAACAATGATTTTCTCACGTAGGAAATTTATAAGGTCAATGTTATTTTCATAGAGTGATGGGGGAGTTTGATTTTTTTGTAAATGATGTCAACATTTGTTTCACTGTCATCAAAATGTATCCATTCATTTTACTTGCTGTGTTCCGTGTTTAATTGTCATCCAGGTGATGTTTGGAGTATATTTATGTATCAATCTGTTTTCAATACGTGAAATATTTTCATTACTAGGCTGTTGTTTAGATACCTGTGGGTTTTACACAATATGGTCCACTTGCCGATATTTAAACGCCAAGGGTATGGCTTTGTGGCTGTATATCCCAAGTGTCATAAACAACTGGTAGTTTGCCTCACTAAGGGATACTTTTTTTTTGCAGATGCTGACAATAGTTTCCGTCCCCTCAAATCAAGGTAGATAATAAAACATTAAATTTTGAAATCAGTTTAATCTATTATCATCATTTGTCTAAATTTTTAACTTCGGAAGTTCTAAATTTGTTTCTTCTTTCTGTTTTACAGCACAGGTGGTTTGGCCTTCTTTGCATGTCGCTTTTGTGATGATTATGATATTGGGATGTTCATTGATTGATAATTTGTTTTACTTTTGACTTCATATCTTGCCTTCATATAAACAGGACTTTCAGGTGGAGTTATCGCTGGGATATCTATAGCAGCCATAGTGGTAGCTCTGTTGCTGGCATTTGGTATTTATGCTAGATTTTTCCGAAGGAGAAAGGGAACAACATTACTTTCAACAATCTCCCAAGACTTACCTGCTGAAGGTGGGAATGGTAGAGCACTGCTTCTCTATCCCTTTTTTGTTTGTTTGTGGTACTTCGACTAAACTAAAATGACTTTTTCACAAATTTAATGCTTTTTACAAGTAACTTCAGACAGTTCTGCCAGTTAAATATTTGAAAACACTGTTCAAGTAGGTGATTAATTAGCAAAACCAGTTGATTTACTGCCCTTTATTCCAGAACGTAGAGCAAAAGAACATACTTTTAGTCTTCATTCTAATATCCTAAAGTTCTCTGTTCAAGAATTAGCACTTTACATCCTCTCTCAGAACCTAGGCTATCATTTGTTCTGTTCTTGGATAAATGTTACAACATTATCTCTACACTTTGTATTATATCTATTTATTTATTTTCGATGAAAACCAGTGTACTTTGCTAGTAAATCTTGATTACCATTATCTTAATTGCTGACTGGTTCCTGCTTTTTCTTTTCTTCTCAATGTTTCTTTTGTTCGGGGGATCTGTTTAGTTTATGGAAGTAAGGCAGCAGAATCAACTGCAGCTGTTCCTGCTTCTCCGGGCCTAACTGGCATTACTGTAGACAAATCAGTTGAATTCTCATATGAAGAACTTGCCCAGGCAACTGATAATTTCAGTCTGGCTAACAAGATTGGTGAAGGTGGCTTTGGGGCTGTTTACTATGCGAATTTGAGAGGCGAGGTTAGTTCATAAATGTATATTTTTTATTGTCTGATTACATTTAGTCAAGTCATTATTAGCTGTCGATAATGATACGAGTTGTTTGATGTGTTCTGTCACATCTATTACACTGTTTTCATGTTTATTGAACATGCCTGTCAGTATTGTGTTTTCGTATCGGGATCTCTAAAGCAATTAAAAAAAAGCGTTATTAAAAATATTAATATTTTTTAAAGGTAAAACGTTATTTAAAATATTATTTTTTTACCGGAAATGTTAATATTGAGCGCTACTTAAAATGTTATTTTTTACCGGTTTTTCTATCGGAAATTAGGTAGCAAAAGTAACATTTCCAATAGCAAAATTAACATTTCAAGTAGAAAAAAATAAAATTTTAGTAGCGCTTTACTAGAAATGTTAAAAAAACATTAACATTTCTAATAACGCTTTTTCTTAGTCGTATATTAGACTGCCGTACGGCAGAATTACCCGTTCGTATTGTATCCTATATTCAGAGAAAACACAGCTTTGCTGTTTCTTGCATTTTTATTAATAAGCCAAGAAATGGTTAAATTTACCAATAAAAATTACTAGGAACGCAATTTTTTTCTTTCAGTTCTTGAATGTACAGTTACTCTTTTTAATGCTTTTTGAGGGAAAATATACGTGCATCTGAATCAACGAACCATTGCCCTCTCATGTTGATTACATTTGTCATGCGTTTATTACTCAATGTGCAGGAAGCTGCAATCAAGAAGATGGATATGCAAGCATCCAAAGAATTTTTAGCTGAATTAAAGGTTTTGACACGTGTTCATCACCTGAACCTGGTAATGTACTTTCTTTTTCACATGCTTGGAAAGGTGTATCAAGTGCATTCGTGTTTGGGTTCTGCGAGTGAATGACAAACTGAAACTTTTAGAGCATGATATATCTTTGAATAATTGTCTATCGTTGGATAGAAAATTGAAAATATTTCTTTAACGTTGTTCCATCTGTCAATCTGAATACCATTTTGTAGATACTCAAGTGTAACACCATAGGTAAACAAACAAAGGCCCTGTTTGAGTTCTCCATTGTACAATGAGTCGGAGGAACTGTCTATATCCACCTACGACACAGTCTTCATGCATTAGTTTTCATAATCCCTCTTTTCTGTTAATTTAAGAAATATAATGTAGATAAGGTATAATGTTTAAGTAGATTCTCGTTGAATTGACTATGCATCTGATCGCAGCTGTGATAGTGCACAACTAATTAAGTAGTTTAGCTTTTCTTAATCAGTGAGCTTTCTTTTTCTTGAAAAAAAAAAGTTTGTATCCTTTCTAGACATCGATCCATTTAAGTTATGGCCTGAATCTTTATCTGTTATTTATCTTCAAATTGAATATTAATATGGACTCCCAATTCAGGTGCGTTTAATTGGATATTGCGTTGAAGGCTCTCTCTTCCTAGTTTACGAATTCATTGAGAATGGCAATCTAAGCCAGCATTTGAGAGGCCAAAGTGAGATTCCTTATGTGGAAATTACTACTACTTCCATCGACTCAAAGCAGCACTAACAGATATCTGTTGTTTATTTCCAGGCAGGGAGCCACTTCCTTGGTCTAATCGAGTGCAAATCGCCCTAGACTCAGCCAGAGGTCTTGAATATATCCATGAGCATACTGTCCCTGTTTACATTCACCGTGACATTAAATCAGCCAATATATTGATAGACAAAAAGTTTCGTGCAAAGGTTATTTTTTTTTCTTGATCTCTTATCAGGTGGGCTGTTTGAAAGCTTTTTGTTTTTATTATACTGAATCATATTTAACGTATCATGCAGGTTGCAGATTTTGGATTAACAAAACTGACAGAAGTCGGAAGTGCATCACTACCCACACGTCTTGTTGGGACATTTGGATACATGCCACCAGAGTAAGATCAATTTTGTTCGTATTAATTTGATGCAACTTTTAATTCATTGGATTCTATTGTAAATGACAATGCCTAAGTTCAACAATTGGCTAAACTAACTGTCATTAGATCTTATGACTAGAGTGGCGAATGATCCTTTAGAGAAATTACTAGTTCTTATAAAATTTTCATTCACCTAATTTAATGGTTGCTATTTAGAAACTTCATATCGTCAATGAATTTGCGATTGGAGGTAGATCAGATAGTTTGTGCGGGATTTGGTTTGGATAAGAAAATTCATAATTTTCTAAATCAAACCAAAAACAGTTGGGTATAGAAACCAAAATATATCAATTCACTTCTGCTAGATTTATTTTTAAGTTGGTTTGGTTCTTATTTGTGTTTTCTGAAATAAAAGCCCCAAAAGAACTTTTGAAACTCAGAGCTAAAAACTACCTTAGTTTAGAAAAGCAAATCCAAAATGGTTTAACTAAATGTGAACAAACACTGACAGTCTAAGTTACTCGGAACTCAGGTGTGAGTGTCAGATACATATGTATGGGACATTGAGTATGATTAGATTATTCTAAGTTTTTCATGTATTTGTGCGATCCTTGGAAGTCATATCTTTATGTTCATGTATCGGAAACAAATGTTAGACACTAGTAATTTAAGAAAAATGAAGAGTTCTAACAACATAGCTTGCAATCAGTTAAATTGTCGGCATGAAAACTTCTAAAATTTAACTAGATGCCGTGAACATTATTGTTAGAAAGCCTATAAATTGGACCAGGATACAACTTTTCGGAAAAGTGGAGTTCTCACATGATTATAGGAACTCTGTATTATTGGTGGGAAACTTAGAAACTTACCAGTATATGGCTTGATATCAGTACTAGGTTTGTGTCAAAGTATATTGATGCATTTACTTTATGAGATTTTAACTTGAGGGATGCTTAATCATGTCCTTATTATCGGTAGTTATGATTATTATACAAGAATCTTCCTTGCTCGTTACTGGATATCCACAAAAACTCTCTTGAATTTTTTCTACCATTTAATTTTGCTTGATTTTTCTACAAGCAAGTGGTTTTCACATGAGAGGTGAGGATATCAGAACTTAATTCTGCAATCATTATGGACATGATATTAGTGTTCAATTATCATACTCCATATTTCTGATGTTAAATTTTTTTAACCGAAAACACCACATACCAATTTTAATTTGGCAAGGAAGATAAATATAATATCAGTTACCCTTTTTTGCACTTGCACAGCTTCTGTTTACTCTAATGGAGTGAAAGCTAACTATGCTCTTTTATTAGTAGGAATTTCAGTTGAAAGATTCTACATAAGACTACATTAGCTCTGGAATAGAAAAAAAATTTGATTTTGTTTAGTATTCTGGAATGCCCTCATTGGAAGTCGGTACTTAAGGAGCTTTATCATCTGCCTAAAAATTGGTGTTCATGTAAAAATGGACTAACTTAATTCATGTTTGTTTGCAGATATGCGCAATACGGTGATGTTTCTCCCAAAGTAGATGTATATGCCTTTGGGGTAGTACTCTATGAGCTTATTTCTGCTAAAGAAGCTATTGTCAAGGCTAATGACTCTCTTGCTGAATCAAAGGGTCTTGTTGCCCTGGTTAATATTCTTTCAATCCCTCTACTCCAATTCATGAGAAGTTGTAGCAAATTGGCTGAATGATTTATATACAATTGTTGAAATTTGGAATGTGGTTTGAGTAATTCTTTTGGCAAATTAAAACCCTTTTCTCTCCTTTCCTTCTGTAGTTTGAGGATGCTCTTAATGAGCCTGATCCTAAAGAAGCATTTTGCAAGCTTATTGATGAGAGGCTTGAAGAAAATTACACACTAGACGCTGTGTTCAAGGTGAGACCAGTTCCTGGGAAAGAATATGCTATGATTTTCATTTCATTGTGTTTTCAGTTTGATAAAAGCTAAGGATGTTATATAATTGCAGATGGCTCAGCTTGCCAAAGCGTGTACACATGAAAACCCTCAGCTACGACCAAGTATGAGATCCATAGTGGTTGCTTTAATGACACTTTCATCCTCAACAGAGGATTGGGATGTTGGTTCTTTCTATGAAAATCAAGCTCTTGTCAACCTTATGGCCGGAAGATAATGGAAATGGTCTTTCTTGCACACCATTGGTACGTTTCATGTGCCTGTCAAATGATATTCTTTGTTTTTGGTATGGAAAAAGAAAAACTCATTTAAGACCCATTTTTTTTGCTATATGTGCTTGAAAATGTCACGTGAGAATAAGATCAACGTGCATGTTTGGTAGAGCTAGGGTTTAGTATACAGACAATCCCGGTGGTATAGTCAAAAGTGAAAATGTACAATAGGGCTGAATAATTTAATCGTTGTTTGTTTGATATTACTGTAAATAAGTAATGTCAAATCATTTTATGTTTTGATTTTTTTAAGTAGATTATGAGAGTAGTTTTGATTTTAAACAAAAGTTTCTATGTCCTTGTATCTTTTTCTCTTTTAAGGTAATTGAGTTTTGAATTTTGTTCAGAAGAGACGTATAAGGGAAGGGCATTGGTTGTGTCGGGTCAGATTTTCGATCAATCTGACCCGACCCGAAGATTATACATACTCCATCTGAATCCGACCTGACCAAAAAAATATATACCTTCCACCCGACCTGAATTTAACCCGACTATTTGAGATAAAAACTGAATTTGACCTAACTCGACTCGAAATAATATATTTATTAAAAATATATTATTTTTATTAAATAAAAATAGGGATTTGATTGAAAAAATAATATATAAAGGGACATTATTGAAATTATTCATAAATATAAAGATAAAATTATTTATTTTTCTCATGTCAGATTGGGTCGAATATTTTTTACCATAAACCCTAACCCGACCCGACACGAACCCAATTTTTTAAAACAAAAATCCGACCCAATCAAGTCAAGTCGAAACCCGTTATTTGGTATCCCATGTATTATCTTGTTTATGTTTTGGTCACTTCATTGTTGTTTAGAGTAAATTCATACTTAATGTTACGTTTTATTTCTATATTGATCACAAAAACTTAACGGAGATAATGATATATCACAATATAATAACAATTTTAGTCCTAAAACTTATGCAATCTTGTCAACTATTTTGATCAAACCCCAAATTTATCATCCTCTATTTGGTATAATAACAGATTGCGAGCTCCTTTGTTCTTCCCTTGACTGATTCTTTATCATCCTTCTACTCGAGTTTGACTCTATCAACACTCAAATGGACTCTATTTGAGCTCGAATTTGACTCGAGTTCTTGACGAGCTAAAGTGAGTTATTTGATATCCGACTCAAAAAACTCGCGAGCAACTTAAAAAAATAATATATTAAATTTTTAATTTTTATATGTTGTTGTTTTTAAAATATAATATAATATCTTCATGAATTTAAAGTTTGAGATTCAGATTTCAACAACGTAGTATACACATGCTTAATCTTCTCAAGTGTCTGGTGCATTTGCCTGTAAACCAGAATTACTCGATATACGAAAGCCGTAAACATAGAAGGCAAAGCAACAGAAAGGCAAGCCAAGTATGAAGGTAGAAGGAAATGCATAAACATCAAAGTTGGATGGAACTATCATATAATTTGACAAAACCTATATCTTGTCAAACCAAAGGATTTTCTAGTTCCCTGAGAGCCATTGATTTATGTGTGAAACCTCAAAACCTGCACCAAGTATTCCGATCTGTGTGTTCTGAATTGCACTAACAGAAATGCAATGGACGTGTTAAGCAGATTGCTGTATGAGAATAGAGACGCCAAAAACTATAATATTAATAAGAAGATTATCTTCCAAAGGGTACAAGCATGGTTCTTGTATAAGAATACACCGCTTTTGATACTTAAACCACTACTTTTATTCAAATATAATCAAAACAATATATTACTAAGAATATGCAAACACCTGGCTTTCTTTCAAAGAAGCTACAAATTCTAAATACAAGAGTCTGCAATAATGTCCTCTGTCATACGCTTCACTTGTAATTCCAATTCCATGTTGTACGATTTCTATAAGGGTATCAGAGTAAGATAAAAATGTACATTAATTCCAAGTCTTGTAAATACTGGAGTAACAATATCACTAAACATGTCAAGGTCTTGCAATACGTTGAGACTAAAACAATTGAGTTCCTGTGAGGGAAAGGGACTGATGGAAGAAGGGATCAAATTATTAGCTACAGGATCACGATAGACGAGATTAATGTTGATGCTTAACCTAACTTGGGCGTGATGGGGAAGTATAGGAGAAGTTTGTAGTGCAATAATACGACGAAGACGGTGGAAAACAACATTAGATTGATAGGGAATGGAAACCGTTGCCATTGAAGAGGAAAACTAGAGCCCTGAAATAAAACGATTTTGAGAGTTGACGAGTCTTGTATTGATATCAAGGTTGATTATTTATACATACGGAATCTCACATCAACTGGGAATTGGAAATTTTATTTCTTTAGAGGTACGTTTGGTTCATGGAATGTAGCATTACCTTCCGGAATAGAATTACCAGAATGTAACATTACCTAACACATTAATGGGAATGTTGTATTGTTGTGTTTGATTCATTTAGCAGGAATGTAAGATTACAGTGTTTGGTTAAATGAATAAAAGATTATTGAAATGTATATAAAAGAATAAAAATATTCCTCTGAAAATCTCACATACTCCGACTCATATGGGCTCATCCAAAAACTGTAAACTCTTTTTTAATTAATAATATTTAATTGTTAATTAAATATTATTTTTGATCAAAATAAAATAATAAAACATTTACATATCGGGAGGCCCAAAAATCCAAATCCCAAACCCTAAACTAAAATCCTTTCACGGCGGCGCTGTCGACCTTCAAGCTTTCATTCCGCAAAACGCAAACATGGTAAATCTCCCTTCGTACTTTCCTCTTCATCTTCATTTTAGGCATTTCCATCTGTTCACTTCACGTTTTTTTATTTATTTATCAATTTTCAGGCTCTGTTTTTGTATTTCTCTTATAGTTTTTAACCCAATAACATTGCACTTCGCTTTGTTAATGTTTTTTATGTTGTTATGTTGGGTGTGGTTTTAGGTTCTTCAAAACGATGTCGATTTGTTGAATCCTCCTGCCGAGCTCGAGAAGAAGAAGCACAAGCTCAAGCGTCTCGTTCAGTCTCCCAATTCCTTCTTCATGGTAATATGTTTAGACTTTTCTTTGTTTTTCATATCATGATTTGTTCTGTATTGTGGGTTAACTTGGTTCTCCTCTATTTTTGCTATCTCAAAGGATGTCAAATGCCAAGGCTGCTTCAACATGTAAGTTCACATTGGTATTTTAGGTTATTGTTTGTTTTAAATGGAATTTTCTTGAGGGATATTTAATCTAAATTTCTGGGTTTTTTTAAAATGGCAGAACGACTGTATTTAGCCACTCTCAAACTGTGGTGGTGTGTGGAAACTGCCAGACGGTTCTATGCCAGCCGACTGGCGGTAGAGCTAGGCTCACTGAAGGTTGCTCTTTCAGGAAGAAGGGTGACTAAATCTGATCCGATTGGGACGATTGGAGGATGAGCTTTGTATGTTCCCGGTCTGGTTATCTTTTTGATGTGTTAAAAATGTCTTTATTTTAGCATCAGCTTGAAGGGTTTTAGAAAGACCGTCTTTTTGAGGTGTTATATATGTGCTACTGTTCTCAATTTAGTGCATGGTTTTTGGGTTTAATGAATGTTTTGAGTTGCATTTGATTGGTGTTCTGTTTTTTATATAATTATTTGTTTGTGTTGGCTCTGGATAGAATTTGCCCAAAATTGTTCCAACTACATGCTTTACATTATAAAGATTTTGGGTTTGAAATAGCTGGCTTTGATGTGCCATTGAAGCTGTGCCTGTTGAGGCTGACTGTAATTATGATTAGGAGATTGTGAGAATATAGAGTAGTGAAAAGATCCTTGGAGCCTAGGCGTAGGCGCGTCCCTTTCGTATGTGAGGGCCTCACTGTTTGTAATATATAATATAGATCAAGTGTATATTATATTTTGTACTCAAACTAACATGATAAATAATATTATAGTTCTTTATATAATATTATAGTGAAGAGGACAATGGAGAGAGAATGTTAGGGATTATGTTTGGTGAGTTTTTTCCCCCCAATTTTACATCTTGAGAGACTGAGATTAAAGTTAGATGATTTTTTTTAAATTAAAATATAATTATTTATTAAAAATATTAATATCTTAAAAAAAATCTGAAAAGCGCAAAGGTGCTGTGCCCGGCGCCTAAAGCCCTTAGGCGCACACCTTCCGTCGCCTCTTGTAATTCGCCTCGCCTCAACCCAGGCGGGAACTACCTTCAGTGCCTGGCTGTGCCTCGCGTCCCGGGCGTGCCTTTTAAAGCCCAGGTAGTGAAGCTAAACGAATTTCGCATCTCCGGCGTATCACAACCTTGATACATATTTGATATTCGGCTTGAAATAATGTCTGCTTCTGTTTTTCCTAGTATAATATGGTCTTGAGATAGTGAATACAAACTACAGATA